TTCGGTTCGATGATCACCCCTGTTCTACTTTGGCGGCTGCTACTGCGGAAAGATGTTCGATGACGTCAAAGCAATAGCTGAAGTATAGCTAAAATTTAGTAACTAAATAGACCCTATCTATCGATCGCAACCGGGAAGCATGCCCTGAAAATGCTGTATTGCGCCTGCCTCGCGCAAATTGTTGGTTGAGTACATAGCGGTTATGAAAACCATTTGAAAGGGTTTGACAAACCAAGGTTTTGCCAGACCTTGATGCTGCCCCCATGTGAGGATGTAGCAGGAGATAGTCCTAGGTGGTGAGAAGCATCCTGACAGCAAGCCAGGGCGGCCAAACTACCATAGCCTCATCGAAGATTCAGCATTACAAGGCATCCCTCAAAACATGGCATTCCGTGGAGGCAGAGCGCTCGTGCAGGTGCTCCGCAACCTGGCGGCCTCATCGTCGCCTGCAGCGCATTCTAGTTCTGTGACCAGTCAGTGCGGGGCAGCTCTCTCTCCCTGCCTCGAAACCAGTTCTCAGTGGATGCATGCAAGGACTGTGTCCACAAGATCATGGACGTTGATGCAGTCTGCTGCTCCCGAGGGGGGACCTGCGGCGGGCAAAGCAGAGAGCCATCAGGTGAACCCGACCAACCAGAGGGAGGGCCAGCAGGGAAGCGCACCGAATGTCGCCGCTGACATAAGGGCGTCCCATGATTCGGGGCCCGCTTCTGGCAAGGAGAAGAGCTTCGAGGTCAATCCGACAAACCATGGGGAGAGTCAGCAGGGAAGCGCGCCGAATGTGGCAGCGGATGAGGGGATGGTGAAGGGTGGGGCTGCTGGGGGTGGCGTGGAAGCAGGGGGGGAGGACGAAGACGAACCAGTCAGTAACCGGAACCCAGTCACGGGAGAGATTGGGGGACCTCGGGGGCCGGAGCCTACGCGTTTTGGAGATTGGGAGAAGGGAGGCCGATGTACAGACTTCTAATCTGTTTTGGTGACTGGTGCATGCACTGAATTGGATTGCATCACCAAAGATTGGTATGGACCAGGAGTGAGCTAGATTTGATTGGTATTTAAGGTGTAGAGTGAATTGTTGAGGAGAAATTTGAAGACGCTTGCAAAGATTGGTGGCTGCTGGTGTCCTCAGAAGGATATGACAATGGATTCCATTGTGGTCAGGGAGCCAGTGCTCAGTGTAATGGAGGGAGGTTTCGGCGAGCGTGCCTTTGTCCAGGGTCCTCTCAGATTCACCCGCTGAGGTTGATTGGCTTCATTGAGACTTCCATGCCCTTATGTAGTCTGCTGCAATTGCTGACCTACTACTCTGATGTGGGTGTTCCATGTACATTGTACATATCTAGTTAGCCCGAGCAGTTCAGCACGTCTTAGTACTTGCTATGAAACAAGATCTGAGTACGTAGGCATTGCTGAATTATATGTAAGAATTGGTTCTGAAATGTACCTCCATATAACGAGTGCTTTTGAAATGCAAGCTGAGGGAACCTACACGCGTCGTATGTACGTTCGGCCCCAACCTTGCATCCCAGACGGTGGCGCATAGGAAGACAATTGCAGCTTTTACCTTGGGACGTTGATTCAAATGCCGAACATGGGCCTCCGTGTTGGCACCTGCAAAGCTAGCCGGCGTCCATCCAGATGGATCTAGCTGAGCGAGCTCAATCGTGATGCCCTGGGTTGCAGATTCTTCAATCTTCAACTTACCAGGCGCCATTAATTCTTGTGAAGATCGCCGCACCGTTTTTGTAAAGATTCACCGCGCGCCGTTTCTTGTGAGGTCGGAATGCAATTGCCTCGAATTATACTGCTACTCGATAACGTAGCTATCATATAGTCAATCGCCCCACGCTAATACTCAACAGAAGCTGGGGACCTATCATGTAAACTTAGGACCTATGCACGCAATGCGGCTGTTGTTTAGATCAGCTAGGGCTAGGTGGTTAGTCTTCAATATTTATATACAGTAGTCCACCTGCCAAATGGCGTGTCTAGTTTGACCAGAGCCACACAATTGCCCCACGTGCATACTAAACGGACTATCCAAAAAGTTTGTCCCGCTTGACCATTCAAAACCGAGTTACATGTGAATCGACAAAAAACCCTGCATCATGATATTCGCATGTTTCTTCATTGAGTGCGGATGTCCAGTCCAACCGGGCACGCATAAGGGCCGCAAATGATCGATCCGCATTATAAGAGAGTTTGGCGCTTGTGCAGCGAACAACCGCTTTCATTCAGCTCTGCCCACGCATGGGCAAAAAAAGCTGAGGTACCGTTATTAACACTCAGGTCAGAAAGTCAAATGAAGGCCTCCTCTGTACACTTCGTCACAATTTTGAAGCTGACGCAACAAATGGGGTGAGAAAGACATCAAGGGTGCGGTGATATAGGTGGCCCAACTCTCATGAGCAGCTCTTGCAACCACCGTCTCGTTGTGACGTCATCCTGCGGGAGGAAGAGGGGCACATGGTTTGAGGGCGCTCTTTCGAGTACGAGCGGCAGTTGGCGAAATACCCAATAAGAAGCCCGTCCTCCAATCCGTCCACCCATGCCTTAGAAACAGACCGCTTTATGTTGCACGCAGCGACAGGTAGTGTGTACGAGCAAGTACACAACCAAATGGCAGAGGACGACTTTACAGTCTTCGACAAGTGCCACAAGGTTTAGGTGCCTGACGCTTCGACAAGGGTGGTACCGCGCTTAGACCCGCACTTTTGAGCACTATTAGCAAAAGCCCAAAAGCACACCCCGGTGGGACCACATCAGCTGGGACGGAACAATGACAGCTGGCAGACAGAAACGAGAGAGAAATGATGACACTAGCAAAGCCCGTTGGACTCACCCTTAAGCACGCGCTAAACGTGGTGTCCCTCAGCAAGTCCGGCAGGCAGTTTCTCAGGGCCTCGCAAGCCCTGCACCGACAAAGCAACTCTCGCTTTGGCCCTCGAAGTGTATGCCTTCATCGCTACCTTCTGTTGTCTGTAATTTCAACATCTACAAGAGCCAGCCACGAAGCAGACACGAAACACCCCTTGGTCTGAGCACAAGCGGAGTGACGGCCTCTCTCCGGGCATCTCGCGGCCTTAAATGCTCAATCTGCTACACGATTCCAACCGCAGGAGGTGAAAGAAGGTCCCGACGACGCAAATAGAGAGATTCCATCGATGAGACAAAAGGGCGCAGCCAGTCAAACAGCAAGTCTTCGGTATCGTGGTAGCGCTGCATCAAAACGCTGCGAATTTTGGTATGCATTCTGCGGAAATTCGACCAACCGCAGTGAGCAGACGAGGGGCGCTTACCTGGGGTTGTCCGAGAGGCGCAGGTAGCACCGGATTATGTGCTTAAGCAGCCGGACCGACGGCTGCTCCGCCAGCATTTGCACCTGGAAAACGGAGCGGAACCGGAACCCAGAGTCAGAACGGAAGCCCTGAGGGACTGCAAACGGCTCGATACACTCCGCTTCAATGTGTATGGCAGGACTTGACTACACTCGACCGATGTATCTTCTGAGCTTGACTTTGTTTGCGGCTGCGAATCAGGCAGCAGGGATAGGAAGCATAGTGCCAACTTTCGGCCTCTGAGTACGAGCGCGGCTGCTTCTTTAAAAACGAGCGCTGGCTTCACGTCAAAGAGGAAGAGAGATGTGTTAATGTAATTTTGCGCGTCGAAGGAGGGGAAAGTGGTTTGCCGGAACATAGAACTAGCCGCAACCTTTTGCGAAAATACCTCCTGCGAAAGTACCTCCACAAGATCGGAACCCGATACTTAAGGGCCCAACCCGGCCAGGGTTCTCTTAAACCACAAACAGAACCTCAACTCCTCTTAAGCACTGAGGACTCACAAAAAGGGCCTATTAAAGCAAACCTCTGATCAGGACCGGAGTAATCAGGCTGGATTCTGACCATGTTGCTAAGGACGGCCCCCACTGCGAAGAAGCGCTCCGCGGTCGCGCAGATGTACGCCAGCCCCACGTCGTCCAGCAGAATTTTCTGGACGATGAACGTCGCAACCTGAACCCAGCAGAAACCGTGCCAACGTCAGACGACTGTCGAGTGCCAAGCGCTGACGTACGGGTCATGCCTTTGCAGATACGTCGCTGCCCCGATCAATTGAGTAACTGGGTTAGATGCACGTGATCAGTAGAGTGCGTTCGAATCCCCGGGCGCACAAATTTGGGTATAAACAATCTGCTCATATCCAAGAAGAACACTTTCGTACTCCCATATTGAATCGCAGCTCAAGCAGGATTGATTTGCAAGTGATCTCCGACAATGGTTGCCAGTCGCGCGTTCGTTTTGCTCATGCAGTAGAAGGTCTCACTAAGAGTCCTAGTCTCTGAACACGTCTTGCAAACGCCCTTGCTAAGAACAACACACAGCGCTTTTCTGCCCAAACAAAAATATGAAGCCCGTCTCTTTGACCTTTGTCACTTTCGCCAGGATGTGCCTAGGAAGCCGTGACAAGCACAATTCCGCAAGAAGCACGGGTGCTCACCGTTTTGGACAACTCGCTACCCATTTCCATCGTCCGCAGACAAAGGGGGATGATCTCCGTGGATAACAAAAAGTTGATCACCTCCGTGTCATCTACCTGCAGCATCGGAAGCAGAGCCACCAAAACTTGAGCCACAGTGACCGAATAAGCAGATGGTTCTGAAAAGCGTTCACGTGAGACTATGAAGCGGAATGAAAGCGCCACACAAGAACGTATTAACGCTTCCGCTTTGACCAAAAACCAAGATCAGAAGCACCAAAGACATGAAGTTGTAATTGCCCTCTGATGAAATTGCCCTTTTATACTTGGCCCGGCTGAGTTTCTTCAGAAGATCAGTAAGCTGCAACTAGGCATGGTGCTGACATTCGGAACGTGAACGACAATCTCAAATGAGAAACTGTTGAAACGAACAAGAAAGCTGGATATTGCAGATTGAAGCAACAAAAAGACATGACAACATGACTTCTATCGCCCACCTTGACCAGGGCTCCTATTACGCCTAAGCTCGTCAGGCGCAGGTACTCAAAGGGTCGTGTCTTGCTGACGGTGTTCAGGAAGGGGTACAGGAAGAGGGGGATGTGGGCTGCACGGAAGACGACACATGGCGCCTAGTCAGCAACGTCCTTCTGCAACCCACTGACGACACCACGATGTGTTCCATTTCGAAATGGGGAAAAGCTAGAACGGGGCGGATCCATAGAAACCCACCAAGTGTAGCTCTGGGAATCGCCCACCAGAAGTGGGAAGTGCAGAAGGCCAAAAGGTGAGGAATAAGTCCTCATGAGTTTCAAGGTGAACTGGAGCTTTGTACACATCAGCATTAGAGAAGGGGCATCAGTGAGGGGATATGAGTTCGCACAGAATGTGGCAGTCCAATGAGAGCACAATCCTTACCAGCGAAATGAAGCGGGTCAATATTTACCCTCCCCGAACAACCAAATCCTCACCGTTGAGGAACAGCCCACGCGTGTCCGGATGCGAGGCAACGCACTGCAAAAGTGCAAGCGCGTTGCAGACCCGGTTGGAGGCGGCCGCGGTGAGGGTGGGGGGGGAGAGCATGGGGTAGATGGAGACAATCTCCTGCAGCAGGGCCGCGATCGTGCCGCACGAGTGCCACAGGATGGGGGCGAGGTCCGGGAACGCCTCGCGCTTCTGCAGAGCGGTGAATAGGCACAAGTGTGAGTGGGGAAGGAATGTGCAGGTGATGAGAATCTTATCAAGAGATAGTGGGGAGCTGAGCAACGCTGGGCTGTTATTCGAAATTTTGTGGAAGAGCCCGGTACGTTCGGGGGGGACAAAGTAGGGCGAAAAGGGAGACACCCGACGAGCAGGTGTTGAAAGCGCCTGCCATCTGAATCCTGTTTGCATTTCCCCCTGAACCATCCATGCTACTCCAATGATGTTGCGCTTCTGATTCTCTGGAGGCCAGACAGGTTGCGGGCTGTAGTGACGTGCCCACCAACTTGGCTACCTCTAGACCCGCGTCATTCAAGGCCGCGCACAAGAGCGAAACGGCGCCTTCCTCTGGAATGGCCAACTAAAAAGTCAACCAATGGCCGCCTTTCTGCTGAGATCATTTCCCTCGGGCAACATTCGCCCCTCCTCGATGCAAACAAAAAGCAAAACTTTTTGGAAATATGTAAGGAAGCCATGAGCGACTGGTCACCTAAGCCAGGTCCCACAGGCGCCTCCTCCCTCACTGTTCCATCCAGCAATGCCATTTGGTATGTGGCAGAAACATTTTGGCTCACCTTGCTGAGGTCTAGCAGCGCGTTCTCCCTCTGTTCCGGAATGATCAGCTCCAGCACTAGTTGCTCGGGCGTCGCCATTGGCCGCTCCGGCCCCTCTGGCCGCTTCTCGGGCGGCCCCACCGCGCGCTGCTGTAGTTGGAAACAACACGTTACTCAAGTGCCCATGAATTTCATTGCAACATAAGTGTCCTGGCGAGTGTCACCCGAGCTCTTGGTCTTTTACAAGCACTTGGCATCGTCTCACTGTAATCCAATGGACATCTCTCGCTGTAAAAAGATAGAAACATCTGCTTCTCGCCTCCGTTTACCCACAGGTGTACCGAGCAGGACTTAGGGAACAGACGGTCTCTGTCCATAAAGCGCACGACCAAAGAAATGCTGGACAGGAGCTGGACTGCGGCTAGCGGCCGAAACAGAACCTTGACTATTGCTTTCCTCATGGGCTCTTGAGATTCAACATGAGCTGAACACCATGGCACACTGCTTCAGGAGACAACTATTCCACAATCAAAAACCGTGAAACCAAAGTTGTGAGTCAATCAACGGAAAAGACTGGAGATTACCAGCCCATCAAGCTGAAAAAGTTCCTAGCAACTGAAGCTCGCAGGAGCAATCACCAAGATGACTTGAAAAACGGTAATCTACAACAAGCCAACAGCCCATTATATTGACTTGGGTCTGAAACCCGCACCAAAGCAGAGTTGAACAAACCCAATTCAAAAGCATACCACTTCTCACTCCTAATATGAAATGACGTCTAGCAGGCTCACCAGATTCAGCGCCCCATTTCCGAACCCTCCAGGAGCAGCGAAAGCGCCTCCGGGCGCCAGACCCGGCACGCCACTCATAGACATCAGTACCCCAAGCCCAAGTCTGTTGTCCGCCTGCTGTACTGCCCGTTTGCTGGTATACAGAGCCCAAGAACTTTATGGAAGAATCTCCCCTTGACCGGCAAACTCCTGTGGCGGCGGCTCGATTCTTCTTAGATTGCAGCTAAAGGTCAGGCTAACAAGGAAAAGATTCCAAAACCGCCTAAGCTTTGTCTGCCCTTTCCTTCTGCTCACAACTCCGAGCGACAAACTCCAGAGCGCGCCTTTCAGTAGCT